GAGGCAGGAGACTCGCTTGAGCCCAGGAGTTGGAGGTTGCTGTGAGCTGTGAAGCCACTGCACTCTGCCCAGGGGGACAGCTTGAGGCTCTGTCTCCAAAAAAAAAAAGAAAAGAAAGAAAAAGAAAAACCTGTCTCTGACAGTGTGCCCTAAAAAAAAAAAAAGAAAGAAAGAAAAAAAATTATGAAACCCTAAGAAAAGAAATAGCAGAGGATATTAACAAATGGGAGAACACACCATGTTCATGGCTGGGAAGAATCAACATTGTTAAAATGTCTGTACTTCCCAAAGCAATCTACCTATGCAATTCCATCCCTATTAAAACACCAACATCGTACTTTCAAGACTTGGAAAAAATGAGTCTGCGTTTTGTATGGAACCAGAAAAAACCCTGCATAGCTAAGACAGTTCTTAGTAATAAAAACAAAGCCAGGGGCATCACCATACCACACTTTAAGCTGTACTACAAGGCCATAGTGGTCAAGACAGCATGGTACTGGCACAAAAATAGAGACATAGACATTTGGAATCGAATAGAAAACCAGGAAATGAAACTAACATCTTACAACCACCTAATCTTCAATAAACCAAACAAGAACATAGACTGGGGGAAAGACTTCCTATTCAATAAATGGTGCTGGGAGAACTGGATATCCACATGTAAAAGACTGAAACTGGACCCACACCTTTCTCCACTCATAAAAACTGATTCAAGATGGATAAAGGACTTAAATTTAAGGCAGGAAACAAAAAAATCCTCAAAGAAAGCATAGGAAAAACACTGGAAATTATCATCCTAGGGAAAGACTTCATGAAGAAGACTGCCAATTACAACAACAAAAACAAACAAATGGGACTCAATTAAACTGAAAAGCTTCTGTACAGCTAAGGAGACAACAACCAAAGCAAATAGACAACCTACCCAATAGGAAAGGATATTTGCATATTTTGAATCAGACAAAAGCTTGATAACTAGGAGCTATGGAGAACTCAAATTAATCCACATGAAAAATGTCAACAATCCCATATATCAATGGGCAAGAGACATGAATAAAACTTTCTCTAAAGAAGACAGACAAATGGATAGCAAACATATGAAAAAATGCTCATCATTCCTCATTATTAGAGAAATGCAAATCAAAACCACCCTGAGACACCACCTAACCCCAGTAAGAATGGCCCACATCACAAAATCTCAAAACTACAGATGTTGGCATGTTGCACTGCCGGTGGGACTGCAAACTAATACAACCTTTGTGGAAAGAAGTATGGAGAACTCTCAAAGAACTCAAGCCAGGTGTCCCATTTGATCCTGCAATCCCATTACTGGGCATCTACCCAGAAGGAAAAAAATCCTCCTACTATAAAGAGACTTGCACTAGACTATTTATCGCAGCTCAATTTACAATCACCAAAATGTGGAAACAGCCTAAATGCCGAACAACCCAGGAATAGATTAACAAGCTGTGGTATACGTATACCACGGAATACTATTCAGCCATTAAAAAAGATGGAGTCAGGCAGCACCTGTGGCTCAGTGGGTAGGTTGCCAGCCCTATATACCAAGGGTGGTGGGTTTGAACCCGGCCCCAGCCAAACTACTACAAAAAATAGCTGGGTGTTGTGGTGGGTGCCTATAGTCCCAGCTACTCAGGAGGCTGAGGCAAGAGAATCGCTTAAGCCAAGGAGTTGGAGGTTGTTGTGTGCTGTGACACCAGGGTACTCTTCCAAGGGTGATAAAGTGAAACTCAGTCTCTTCAAAAAAAAAAAAAGGATGGAGACTTTACGTCCTTTGTATTAACCTGGATGGAAGTGCAACACTTTATTCTTAGTAAAGCATCACAAGAGTGGAGAAGCATGAGTACTGTGTACTCAATTTTGATATGAGGAGAATTAATGACCTAGTACTCAGTGAGGGGTGAGGGAAAAGAAGAGCAGAAAGAGAGGAGGAAAGGGGTGGGAGAAGGGCTGGACAGAGAGAGGGAAGGAGGGAGGGGTGGGGTCTTGGTGAGTGACACACCTTTTGGGGGCAAGACACAATTATAAGAGGGACTTTACCTGACAAATGCAATCAGTGTAATCTGGTATCTTGTACCCTCGATGAATCCATAACAATAAAAAAAAATAACTAAGTCCAACAAAGAGAACTTGTTAAATAAGTAAGTCGTGGTATGTCCGTAGCATGAAAACTATGTAAACTGTTTAAAACAGTGGTTCTCAACATGTGGGTCACAACCCCTTTGTAACAATGAAAATACACTGCAGCATTAGGAAGGCTGAGAACCACTGATTTAAAACAATGACATACATCTCTATGTACCATTTTGGAAGAATTCTTTTTTTTTTTTTAAGAGACATGAGTCTTATTTTGTTGCCCTCGGTAGAGTGCCATAGCATCACAGCTCACAGCAACCTCCAACTCCTGGGCTTAGGCGATTCTCTTGCCTCAGTTTTCTAAGTAGCTGGAGTACAGGTGCCCGCCATAACGCCTAGCTACTTTTTTGTTGCAGTTTGGCCGGGGCCGGGTTTGAACCTGCCACCCTTGATATATGGGGCCGGTGCTGTACTCACTGAACCACAGGCACCGCCCATGTGGAAGAATTCTAAACTATATGGTTTCAGTGAAAAAGAAAAAGAAGGCAGCACAGTGGCTCACACCTATAATCTGAGCACTCTGGGAGGGCAAGGCAGGTAGACTGCTTTAGCTGAGGAGTTGGAGACTAGCCTGAGGTCAGGGCAAGATCCCACCTCTACTAAAACTAGAAAAAAACAACAGACAGGCATTATGGCAAGGCACCTGCAGTCCCAGCTACTCGGGAAGCTGAAGCAAGAGGATCACTTGAGTCCAAGAGTTTGAGGTTGCTGTGAGCTATGACACGAGGGTACTCCACCCAGGGCATGGTATGAGACTGTCTCAAAAAAGAAAAAAAGGGAAAAAAAGATGAACAACCACTCTGGAAATCACCTTGGCACTATTTGCCGAAGTTGAAGATCACACACCCTATGATCCAACAATTTCACCTCATGTGCCGGTGTGCACATATACATACATATACACACATAGATGTACATAAATATACACACTTCTACATACATCTAACAGAAATGTGCACAGGAGACATGCACAAGAATGTTCTCAACAGCATCCTTTGTAATAACGCCATGTTGGAAAGAACCCAACACAATTGACAATGGAACAGCTAAGCTGGGATGCACACAAAGGAATGCTAAACAAGGAAAACCAGTTACTGTGATGGGCGCACAGTGTGGATAAATCATGCACAATGCTGTACATAGTGTCACATGCAAAAGAACCTACACTATATGAATCCGTTTCTACAAAGTTCAAAAAAATAGTGTATTGGAATGGGCATGGTGGCTCATGCCTGTAATCCCAGCACTCTTAGAGGCCAAGGTGGGTGGATCGCCTGAGTTCACAGTTTTGAGACCAACCTGAGCAAAAGTGAAATCTGTCTCTAAAAATAGCTGAGCCAGAGTGACCGACCCCATATCTAAAAATAGCTGGGTGTTGTGATGGGTGCCTGTAGTCCCAGCTACTCAGGAGGCTGAGCTAAGACAATCACTTAAGCACAAGAGTTTGAGGTTGCTGTGAGTTATGATGCCAGAGGATGCTACCAAGGGCAACAAAGTGAGAGTCTGTCTAAAAAAAACCAGCTTTGTGGCTCGGC